TTCTTTATGCTCCAGCTCTCACAGCCATACATTACTATTGGAAAAACCATAGCTCTGACTATGTAGATCTTTGTCGGCAAGGCGACGTCTCTGCTTTTTAATATGCTATCTAGGTTTGCCATAGCTTTCCGCGTCTTTTAATTTCATGGCTGCAGTCTCCGTCTGCGGTGATCTTGGAGCCCAAATAAATGAAGTCTGTTACTGCTTCCATTTCTACCCCTTCTATTTGCCAGGAATTGATGGGTCCAGATGCCATGATATTAGTTTTTTTAATGTTGAGTTTGTTGAAATATTTCAACTAGCCACATCTATATTATGTAAAAGGAAGCAAATACACTATGCTCTGCGGATTCCTCTGTCATGGGCATCTTTGAACTGTTTTTTCTCATAGTCTTGCTTACTTTGGCTGAGAGTAAAATAACCTTTGAGGGAAATAGGTGGAAAAGGAAATGAGGATAGAGTTGATTTTAACTCGTACTTCCTGTATGCTCCTTTTACTCTTTCAATTACATTGCATGATGCCACAAAAAATGAAAAATTATTTTATTTTTATTTAATTATTTAAATCTTTTTTTATTTTTATTTTGATGCTGCCTGACTGCATCTGACTCTGGCTTTATCTTACCCAACAATCTAAATTAATCCTTTTTTTTTTTTTTAGCATGCTATATGAAAAAAGGAAACCTAGGAGACTAGAATCTTGCCTTGTACAATCAGACATACAGATAGTCCCCAGGTTAAGAATGCCCAGGTTACATACAACCCATAATTAAGAATGGAGCCTATTGTAGCAAAATTTGACTTAAATACACAATGATTCAAGTTAAATACACAATAGTTTGAGTTAATTGCACAATACTACTTATACAGTATTAGACAATAATACTGTTCTGATTTACATACAAATTCGACTTAAGGACAGACCTTGGGAGCAGAACTCGTTCTTAAACTGCAGACCACCTGTACTTTTTTTTAGATATTTTCCTGTGAAAATCTGTGGTTATAAAAAGTAATATGACCTCAGGGTACCGCAGCCAAAAACACCAAGGAGCTTTTAAATGTTGAGCTTGTTGAAAAATACTATGGTATCTTGTAAACTAACCATTGCTAGAATATTGCAAGAAACATAGTTTTCTGTGTATAATAGTTACACAGCTTTCTAGGCCTCCTCTGACTCTACTGCATTTTGATTTGTAGTTTACCTGTGAGAAGAAAAGTAGGAAATGAAAAATAAATTCTTATTCCGTTATATAAGTGGAGGCTGTGCTATTAGTGAGCAAACTGGCTTTTCATTTGTTCTTGCAAAAGCAGCTGTTTTTAATGCTGCTCATGGGGGAAAGAGGTAAAAGCATCTTGTGCATGTTTTAGGAGCTCAGGCATTTAAAAGGTGACTCATAAATCTCTTCAAATTTTCTAAAGGGAAAGCGCAGTGCATTGTGAAAATGTCAACATCAAGAAGGAAGACCAGAAAAAATGTGTTCTCTATATTCCACGGTATCATGAAGAAATAGTATTACAGGAAGAAAAAAAGGTAATGCTAACTGAATATAGTCATTTGCAATATGTGAAAATTATTTATGATGGGATTGAAATGTTCCCATTTGAAGCAGTATACATTTAGAAAAAGTGCATGAGCTGTGGTATAAAAATAGTTGTACAAATTGGTGGGCTTTATGATGCAGGGCTTTTTGAAGATAAATTTGCATAGACTTACGCAATCTTCACAAAGTATGATATATTCTTTTTACATTATTATAACATGTTCCGTTACATGACTATTGAAAGTCATAGGAGAACTGGAGAAACAATAGGAGAAATTCTGTATCATATTTCTTCCAAACAGGAAAAAGACACAATTTTCATTTTTCTTTTTCAAATATAACCTTAAAAGGGTAGATTTCAGTTTGGTGATTCATTCCTTCAGATTACAGAGCATCCCCTCTTTTTTTGTCTAATTCTTTAAACACTCAGACTGTCCTTCCTATTCCATCAACAGTATTTAAGTTTCATGTCTATATTGCTCCAGTATATCAAACCGTAGTTTGACTTGATAAATACTGAGACTTAATAGGATTATTGTGTAAGAATTGTAAGATGAGTAAATAGACTTTGCCCTTTTTGTTCACATGGCTCATTTTTTCCCCTTTGCTACAGAGAAGCACTCCTTCTCTGTAGCAGCGCCTGCCCTCTGGAATGAAGTTCCCCCTGAGATTCAAACGGCCCCCACCCTAGTGGTATTTCAAAGGACCCTGGAGATGTGGCTCTTTGCCCAGGCCTTTGGTGAGGATGTCTGACGCCCCTTTTCTTCCTTTTTCTTGTTCCCATCTTGGTTTCTTTTCTATGCCATCTTTGTTTCTTTGTTTTGTAGTTCTTGAATTGTTACTTGTTTTTAAATGTTTTAACAATTTGTATATCACCCAAAGTTGCTGGGAGTCAGATGGCCTATAAATTAAATAAATTATTATTATTATAGACTGTATAGTATCAGCACCAAGTATCATAGAATAATAAGGATTTTTAAGTGGTTTGTTATATTGAAATCTTGACAATTGCACATTTATTTTATTATTTATTCATTAAAGTTATATCCTGCTTTTTATTTGTAAGTTCAAGATAGTGTATGTAGTGTTCCCTTTATTGTTTCTCATCATTTCAGTTTCAGAGGTTCCTAAGTGTTGGCAATATACCCATTGCCTTCATCAGTACTTGGTGAAAACTTATTTTTATTTGAAAGACAATTGTCAGCTGGATTTTCCTTAACTGGCAAACTTTATGCTTTGCCCTCAGTATAAAGGATGGTGTTACCTTCTGTGTGTATGAGAAAGTTGTTCACTTATTTTCACTTGATCTTAGCATATAAGTACTTTGACAGATACACTTTTTAGGAAGCCTAGCATGGAGCAATAAGGGACATAATTTAAAAGCTAGGCTTTTTCTTTCTACTTATTCCTCATCCCCATGTTATCTGTATACAGTATTCTCACAAGAGTATAATTGAAGTTTGTTATTGATACTGAATGAAGTTTGAAGGAACAGTGTTTTGAGAACCTCTTCATTTCAGTATCTTCTATCTTCTTTGGGGTATTTGCTGATTTTGCTAAGTGCCATACCACCAAATTTCCTCTAGTATATTCCTACTCCTGTTGACAGAAAGTAGTGGAGAAAGAATAATTACCTTTCATGTTGTATGCTCTGATATATGTGATCTGTTTACATGGTGGAGATTTATACATTGTGATAGTGTATTATGATTTTGTTGCAGAGTTTACTGGAATTTTGTCCTGTGATATATGAGGCACAGTAGAGGAGAGATACAATTATTTTTTACTTTGTAGGATGGGGTTGACCTCTGAGAGACATAACATGCTGATTGACCCTCATCTTATAACGAACTTTCTCTCTTATAAAGTTTTGATGAGTCATTTATATTTTGGTCACCATCCAGTTTGACTGTTGTAATGCACTATACATAGATGCTTTTCAAGTCAGCTTTGAAATGTGTGTAGTATACCATATGACATCCTAATGTGCACTAATATTTGTGAATTTCACTTTGATTCAAATATATGCTATAACTACCAGTTCAGTTCTGGGTCTAATTAAGTATCCAGTTTTTCCAGGTATTTGTATAAAGGTTTATATAACCTGAACTGTACATATTTAATGTTGCTAATCAAAAATTGGAACCTAATTTAAAATGGAAATGTCAGTTATATCTATGTGTTATCTATGCCTTCTATCAAAATCTGCAATGTAAATTCAGATAATTTAAGATATTTTCAAGGATAAAATAGGACTGCTCCAGCTTCCTTCTTTTTATCTTAGCTTTAAACTAAAATTAAGACCAAATAGAAAGCCTCAGAACTAAAATTTGAGTTGAAAACCTTCAGTACTACCTCTGTCTTCCAATTAATTGTGGAAAATCAGGGAAAATGTGTTTCCATCTTCCTTCAAATAACACAGTGTATTTCCAAGCTTGTTGAATATTCTAGTTGTAAATTAATGGTATATATATTTGCAAAATAGTAAAAAATGTTTCAGTTGGCCAATTATAAATTTTTATGGTTCAGAATCAAGCAGGATTTTAAAAAACAGTGTAACATGAAATATAGTGTATCAGACATAATAGCAGCAGAGAAAATGATAGAATTGTCAAAAATTTTATATTTGTTTTTTACTTTGCCATGTTAGATCTTATTTTCTCTGTTTGTTTATAATTTATTCACTTAATTTAATTTTCAAAAATACATGCCACTTCTACATTCTTTTTGTATAGGCAGCCAAGTATGGGAGGATGGAGACTTCCCAGCCTCTGGATGTATAATGAATAATTTGATTTGACTTTATTAATAGCCTACAATGAGGATGTCTAATGGATAGAATTAGGGAATAAATAAATCATGCAATGGTAGGGACTTTCATAAACAATTTTCATCAACATATTTCTCAAATTAATAATATTTTAATATCTAATCTATTTAGCATTTCTAAATGGAGAAAGAAGAAACTGTTTCCTTTTAACCAAAACAGCCATTCCAATTTTTAATAATCCATAGATTGATGAAAAGAAAGTCAAATACTTGTTATGGAAACAAAACAATGTATTCTAAGGGACTTTTATAAAAATTTTTTTGCATAATTATCAACTTTCTTAAAAACAGAGGGGGGTGAGTGGATAAAGATAAAACCTGACAATGGCTTACAACTGGAACATTAACAAAAGAAACTCAAGGCTTGATATTGGCTGCTCAAGAGCAAACTATTTGAACTAATGCAATCAAGACCAGAACTGAAGAATCATCAAATGATTCAAAAATGCAGATTGTGCAAAGAAGCAGAAGAAACAGTAGTATACTCAGCTTGTGCAAGAAGATTGCACAAACTGACTATAAACAATGACATAACACAGTCGCCAAAATGATTCACTGGAACATCTGTAAAAATTATAATTTGCCAGTAATGAAAAATTCATGGGAACATACAGTATAGTTGAAAAAGTAGTAAAAAATGAGCAGGTTAAAATATTGTGAGATTTCCAAATATAAACTGATAAAGTCTTGGCACATAACACATTTATTTTAACTGTGGTTGAAAAGAAGAAACTGTGGATAATTGATGTGGCAATACCAGGGGATAGTAGAATAGAAGAGAAAGAATTGGAAAAGATCACAATGTATCCAGTTCTGAAAATCGAGGTTGAAAGATTATGGCATAAACCAGCAATGGTGGTCCCAGTGATTATCGGTACACTAGGTGCCATTCCAAAAACCCTTGGACAGCACTTAGAAAATCTGCACATTGACAAAATTTCCATCTGTCAGTTTCAAAAGACCACACTGCTTAGATCTGCACATATACTATGCTGATACATTACAACATCCTAGGTTCTTGGGAAGAACTCAATGTGAATGAATGCTACCAGCTAAAGAACTGGCAGCTATGATTTCATGTTGTTGTGTATAATAATAATATTGAACTGATAATGAATTGATTTATTGGGGCTCATGAAATTTGATTTGGGCAGTTGGTTCTGCATTAATTTAAAAAATATTTTTTATCAGAGAAGAATGAAGTGGCAAATTTTTGTAGGCAGGCTTATGATGTGATTTCATTTTCTGATGGTTCTGTGCATGGATTATTTTAGTGATCCATGCACAGAACAAAATAATTTGTTTAGTAGCCATAATAATAATAAGCTAGACTTATTATCAATAATAATGTGCTTGAATAAAAACAAATAATGATATGTTCCTTATCTTCTAACTGAATATTTTAAAAAATTGATATATGGCAAAGATTTGTAAGAAATTCATTGCATTCACTAGTTGTATGTGATGGAAAAGCATATTGAATATAATTTAAAAAGGTAGATTTGTTTTGTTTTTATGCCTGTTTTCTATGTAAGAAGAAAGTGAAAGCTTCAACTTTTGGTTTAGAACACACAAGTTCCATAAACTCAGAAAACTGTAATTTGATGTATCCAACTGCTAATAATCCAACCCAGTAACTCAATCATGATTATTCAACTTTACTGGGAGCAAATCTGAGTTAGCATAAAATGAAAAATTGTAGTATGTTCTAAAATGCAAATGAAAATTTTATTTCTTTTGTGAGAAAAAAAGAAAAGAGGGAGAAAAGCACATAAGCTTTAGGTTCTTCCTAAGATTGGGATGGGAATGGGTCAGTGAAATTAATTTTAAAAAATTAAAAAAAAAAAGAGAATTCAGATCATAGATGAGAAACAAAGCTGAATACTGCATTTCAAAATGAAATTTATTTAGTTAGTAAATGTATAGGCTGCCCATCTCATATACATGACTCTGGGAGGCTCACAATTACAAAAATGACATAAAAAATAGCAGCCAAGAAAACTGATAAACACTCAAACTAACCATGACATGGGCTCACCCATATTAACAGGGCCCCAGGCTCAATGGCCAAGTCAGCAGGGTTGAGGCAAGTCTGATTTTTGGGTGGGGTGATGTTCCAGAGGGCAGGTGCCATGGCAAAAAAGGCTCTCCTCCTGAGTCC